ACATTGCTTAATACACACAGGATCACACATAAACACCACAAGTCACACACATAAAGACACACAGAAACACAAATACACATACAGAAATGTACAAACACACACTCACTTTCACTCACACAAACAAAAATACACACAGAATCCCAAAAACACATATCATACACACAGAAACACAAATATGCACACACACACATATAAATACAAACATAATCACACACTTTACACACACACAGTGTTTTTGATGTGGTGAGAGAAGTCGGTGACACGTAAATACACACAGAAACAAAAACACACTCACTTTGACTCACACTAAACAAACAAAAAAACACGCTCAATCACTTACACACACACACACACACACACACACACAATATACATAAATTGCAAATTTGCACACAAATACATGTGCACACAATCACACACATACATGCACACACTAACAAAAACACACAATCACACATACATACTGTAACACATACGTTACAAATACGTGCACACAATCAAACACTTACACACTTTACACATATGCGCACACACACACTCAAGCACCTGTGTTAAAGCTCTCCAGTCCATGTTTGCGCTGCCGATGTAGAGGTGTCTTCGGTCCACAATCCAGAACTTGGAGTGGAGGATTCCTTTAGTGAGACGACCAAAGTCCACCCGACGAACCTGCACTCCTACATCAAGAGCATCACCGTCATTCAAGAGTTCACACTTAGCTGATGATTAATTGTAAAGCTTGTTTGGCATGCTGTCCCGGGAGAGAGCCCTGAGCTCATGAGATCCTCGAGATCAGAGCTCCCTCCCGTTGCAAGGCGGGAGGGAAGTTTGAGCTCAGGTAGATCTCGAGAACTCCCCTGCTGTAGCAAGTGAATGCTCTTGAAATTAACTACATACTAGAAGCGTGTCTATGTTGCCAATTTGGATTGTTCAATTGACTTAATTGCATGTTTTTAGGTGGTGGGAGGAACCCGGGGGAAACCCACGTGAGCACGGGGAGAAGTGCAAACTCCACACAGAAATGTCTGCTAGTTTGGTAAAGCCAGGAACCAGAGACATTCTTGCTGTGAGGCGACAGAGCTACGCACTGGGCCACTGTGTCACCCATCTAAGGAGGAGGAGTAGGGGAGGAAGGGGGGACTCTTCAAAACGAAGATAGCTGTGGAATAAAACCTAGGGTATTTATAGTAGTTTAGGAGTCATCTGATTGGAGCATAGTTAATTAGATAATGCGGATCCAGCCGCTAGCAATCATAAGCACGTGATCCTCTCGAAATTTGTTTATACATAAACTTCACTTAATACAAAACACACCTAAATTACAACTAGAAATACAACCGTGTGATAAAGGTGCAGTGAGTAGGATTGTGTGTGTGTGTGTGTTTGCTGACCGTGTTTCTGCAGGACCTCCAGGTCTGTTGAATTGCGGGCCAGTGTGGGGATGCTGCTCACCACCCGCACAGACACATTCCTGGACGCTAAAGCTTTTAACTCCTCCA